CCAAATGAAAAATGGGCCTAAACATAACCAACCATCTCTAAACAAGGAGATATTGAGAGGGAAAAAAACAAAAATCAAGAGCAAGTTCATGAAGGAAACAGAGGGCTATATAAATAGAAGGAATCAGAAAAAAGAAATAAAAGAGACGGAACAAGACAAGGGAGAATTGGATTCTTATTGATGACTTCAACTGTCCACACTTACAATTTTTTGTGCCTTTTCTCAGAAAGCATATTGATTCTAAAATAGTGTTCAACTGAAACACCATTACCTATTTGAGCCCTCAAATTCTGGAATTCAATGCGTATTTCATGCTTGTCTTGGGCAAAAGAAAAACTAAAACATATTGTGTGTTTCCAACAAAACAACATGAAACTACATATTTGATTATCATTTCTCTCCCTTGTATGAAAAGCACCATGTGCCTCCAAAAAAATTTCTACTTTCTTGACAAGAATTCACCTAAAAGACCCTGCTAAAGATACCCAGTCTCCTAACTCCCAAACCTTCTTACTGAGAGTACGGAGTAAAATCATCCAAATTCAGTAGATGATAATTAACATTCTCGTACTATTTTCATCCATCCCACAATAAATAAATAAAACTCTCTTCACATTATTAAAGACATAGGTTTAAGAGGACGAACTCGGAATTTATCTTTTCCTTAGGGAACAAGAAAAGGTGGTGAACTAGACAACACTCTTGATAATCTCTACCCTTCAGGAAGAAATCAATTTGTCCATCCTACCAATCTTCTCAGATTGCCAACCTACAACCCAATGCTGCCACCAAGCCTCCAAACTACCAATGTCATCCACCAGAGTAATTTAATTATGGGGTTATATGAATTTTAGAGTAGTCTTTGACTATTTGTAAAATCCCAGAATCTTCTGTTAATAACATTATAATAAAGGGTTGACAGTGTGAGTGTTGGTTATCAAATATGGACAGTCAGACAATTCAGTGAACAAGGTATTGTAATACTTCAATCTACTAAAATTATTTTGTAATGTTTGTATAAATCAAGTTACTTTCCAAGGAATGGAATGAATTTCTGCAGTTGTAGAGAAACTATTGTCAAATTTCAAGAGGTGGCTAAATATCTTACCATTTAAGGGTGCTGGTAAAACTTCAGGGAAATCAAACCGGCTGAACTCTCCTGGTTTGTTTGGCATTGCAAATATCATAGAATGCTCCTTCCACTGCAATCTATCATCAATACCAAGCTCACCAAACAGGTTCTGAATATTCGGATAAGCCCCAACTTGCCAATACAAAAAATATATATCATAAGAAATAGAATCCACTACCCAGCTGCTCTATGTATAAGCACTAGAAATTCCTAAAGCAAAGTTAAAGAACCAGTTTCATTAAGCACTAAATACATAATGTAGATTCATCTTGGATAGAAGACAGACAATGAAAAAAGATACTGGAAATGCTTGGGTTCGAACCCTTACATACAACAGGTGGCAGATTTTAAATTTTCTGATTTTATAAGTACTGCTTATCAACCCTTTTCCAATATAATTCTAAAAACTTGGTTGATTAACATTTTGATACGTCCACCTAAAATTATTTTTATTCACCCCTCTCTGTTGCAACTTGCAACTTATATATTAGCTAAAATTTTGTATTGATATAGAATATTACAAATTTATATATAAACCAATTTTGGTCAAAAATGAAATAGGCACTTTATTTTAAAACTTTATCTTTTCAGAGAATACAATCGCTTCACTTGCAAGCACAATCGCCTGCCGGTGTAATTTTCTCAGCCTTCAATACTTCTATGAGAGATTTTTGTTCTCTTCAAACAGAACAGACAAAATAGTGGACTCGATACCCTTGCACAGTCTGAACTTTAGAAGGAGAACAATGCAAGCTACTAATTACTAGGAATCTCATTTCCCAATTTATTATACTTTATCATCCTCTCCCATACCAGCCACCCAACTGTAGCATGACGATTATTAAAGTTGAAAAAAAGATTTTTTATAAGTGAAAAAACTATTAAACTCACAGAAGATATGTAGGCCTGTTTCGTACCAGTCTCCATCCTTATCTTTCCATGCTGCCACCTATCAAAAAACTGGAAATTTCAATAAGCAATTAATAGAAACAACAAAAATATCAGAGATATGAAGTTAGAATGTGGATAAATATTGGACAGTGACCCTTCCAATTGGGTACTCATTGGCCACTGATTTTGGGAGCACAAACAAGGACATAATTATAAGTTGGAAGACTAGAAAGCACAGTTATAAGAGTCAGATTCGCCCCTTGGAACTTTCCAAGAGCAAATTCTCTATCTTTGCACTTTCTCTTAGATGGATTTCCCCCACTTGCTTACGTTTTCCTTCTGTGCAGGTTTTCAAGAACTTAGTGTCTTTCTTTTTGGCAAGTTATAGTAAATTTATTTAATTATGTAAGACCGTCCTTCCCTTGCAATTCTAATAAATTTCTTCTGTCCTATCCTTATGTTTTTTTTTTCTTTCTAAATTTTAATAAATGATATTTTCTCTCTAATCCTTAGCCGCGAAACGTATAAAGTTATAACTTTTACGAGCTAACAGCAATATGGTCTCAAAGTGGGATAAAGTTATAGCAGCTGAAAAACCTTTCCGCCTAGAACATCTCTTGCTTCCAGTAAGATAGGTTTATGACCTGCATCAGCCAAATATTTTGCAGTTGCCAGACCAGCCAAACCTGCAAAAATTCACTACTCTGATGCCTACATTTGTGTGGTCAATCTTCCAAGCTCTTTTACTTTACTCCCGAGCTGCTGTGTTTCACCTCAGGGAAGTACATACCTCCCACACACAATCAAAACCCAGCTTTTCACACACATTATGGCATCCTAAAAAGCTGTCATTTCCTCCAAAAAATAAAACCCTCTTCTTTAAAGTAACCTAAGAAAGCATATGATGTTGAATTACATTGCAGGAAAACTGCCTCATGAACACAAATTTGCAGGCAATCTCTACCTATTCAAATAAAACCCAAAAGGAAAGTCTATAAATCTGTCCCAAACATAGCGCTCAGTGTAATGAAACCCTATTCTCTTAACGACTGACAACAATACAGAAGAAAGCCACCAGCTGAAAACTAATAAACTCACTCATATATATTGTTATCATAAAGCTAAGAATTCATTAAATAGATCAAGTAAGATCATATTGACAAAAAAGAAAAGAAAAAACAATATATGCTTACCCAGAAAAAGAGAACATCATATGGAGATAAACTATATAAATTGGCATTTTTTTCTGATAGGTATCCAAATGTTATTCTTGGATCACTACTGCATCAAACATATAAGTACTTGCACATTGCAACTTAATAACTTATAGAAGAACCTGTTATTTTTCCCTAATAAGTATGTCCAATTATATGGCAATTTTGATCTGGGATGAATGATAAATGGAGTTTAAGCTAATACATTGGATTCTGGGACTAATTTTGAATATGAATTAGCATTGAATGGTAACAGAAGAAGAAAAAAACATATATATATATATATATATATATA